AGTCTGGCCCGGTCACTAAGCAGCGGGAGGCTTAGAAGCTGCTTAACATGTTCGTCCGCAATTCGCCGGACGTTGGCGTATCTTCTGGCTAGGAGGTCCCGAGCAGTCTGGTAGGCGTCGTCCGACAATCTCAAGTGGCCGACGACGCCCAGGGCCTCCCCCTCCAGTGAGGCCAGGAGGTACGCCATCTTTTGGCTCGGGGTCAAGTCGCTCCGGGCGTCCACTAGGCTGTCGAAAAGACCAACGAAGGTCAGCCATTCGGAAAGGCTGAAGAACTTTGGCAGGTCCAGAGTTGGGAGTCGTCCCAACAGCTCCGGCTGAAGCTGCTTCCGAGAGGACTCGGGCAGGCCACTCATCCGAGCTTCACGCGCCTCCTCGGCATACCTGCCTTCAGCCTCGATCAACTCGTCCGTGAGCCACAAGAACTGCTCATAGTCTGCGAAGCAGGAGTCCAGGACTCCCTTCTCCACATCCGAATCCTCGAGCTCAGGGTAAGCCTCCTCCACTGCGGCCCTTCGAGCATCCACCTGCTCGAACCGCTTCATCAAGTTATGGACCCTATCCGGTCGACCTATCAAAGCATGGGCGCTTGTGGCCTAGCGTAACTCAGTCCGCAGGCAACGGATTAGTAGCTTGAGCGATGACATCACTACTAAATACAAATTACGACGCGGCTCGAGCACAACTTACAAAGATAATAAAATAAAAAATACAACAAAAAATTAACAGTTAATAAATGCAGTTCCTATCAAATCGAGTTGAATAGAAATTACACAAATACGAATTACTACGTATCAACCAAATACAAGTTAGCACAAAAGAAAAGACACAAATCAAATAACAAATACTAGTGCGATCAAATCAAGTTAAATTCAAATTGCGCAAATACAATTACTACTCTTTAGTTCAAATACAAATTACAATACAAACGAAGATACACATCACGGTCGATCAACAAAAAATGCCTAGCTCGGAAATCGACCCTTCGATAAGTAATCCACTACAACTATCCGACAACGATAATTAACCGATTACGTAAAAATAACCATCTACCTACATGACGTATACCTCTAGAAAAACTCCCGCTTGCGCAACCTAGGGCGCGGCTTTTCAATCTACCCACTAACCAAAAAAAGGCAAGCAACAAAGGAAAATAATTTTATTATTACGTACAAAAAAAAATATTTTTACGTATTACGGACGGGCGTGACTGTAGACACAAAATTAACCCAATCAAACCAACGCTCCCTGCCACCAGAATTGCTTAATTTTTATCAAACACTATGGCCGGGATCGACCGGGGAATCGAACCCGGAACCACGCTCTGCTACCAGAATTGTACACGCCCCTAGCTGCCCCAATCAAGGATGACGGGATTAGGGCCCATGAGTAATCCCATCGACGAGCAGCAGAGGGACGGGGCCATAATATGGCCGCGTGGAATTTCCTAATTACAATAAACAATATGGGAGAAAGCTAGAAACACGTAGTACTTACCATTATCCGACGCTAACTTCGCACCAAGGCTTGTGCAGGCCGTGAGTGCGTGTAATAGTGGATGGCGAGTAGTGTATAGTGAGGTGTGAAGGTATGGGGCCTTGGCAAGCATAGGCGACCAGCAGCAGCCGAGGTCCAGGCTGCTCCAAAATGCTGCACCGCTTCAGACTGCTTCGGCGCCGGACCACTTCTTCGCCCGGTCACTTTCCTCGTTCGTCACGATGACAGTCCATTAACTCTATCGTACGATTAACTAACTTACAGAAGCCACTAACTCTCGTTTGTTATAAGGTTAACGCACAAAACGAACACGGAGTGTCCGGATCAAAGGTCACTACCGTTTCGCGTAGCAACAGTTATTTCTAGAATATCAAAGGCCGCACTAGCTGATATTGTCGAATGCACTTATACAGATTCTGAGTCGGACCCAATAAGTCCCGGGGAAGCTCTACAGCAAGGAATACGCGTCACAAACCCTAGACCGTATATTTACTGGCCGCGCCTAATTATTCCGAGTTCCCGACAAAAAATGGCAGCGTGCTGTCCCAAGCACAGCTGGGAGACGATTCTTTCGCCTTTACCCGTTCTCAACCCACCGCTCGGCCGACGTCAAAACCGGTATGGCACCGAGCCGCGCGCCCTCTCGCGTTAGTTCCTGAAATTAGCGTTTGGCGCGAACAAACCCCCGTCCCGGACATAAGGACCTATGTCCGCGAACAAACCGGCAAGTGGGACAGTGTCGCGACGGCACGTTGCAAGACCGAATCTACACCAAAACTAGGCCACCTTAGGCACTCCATCAGATCTTGCAACCCTAACCAACGCCTCAAAATTACAGCCCCAACGTGGGCAAGCCGGAAGGTTGAACTGGATGCCCTTCCTGGACATCGCAGCCCATAAATAAGTCCTATTCCTAGACAGAAGTCCGACAACCTCCTTCAAACACCTATCTGTGCTCCTATGATTAGTTCCGCAATCCGACCGGATCAGGTCTGCAAACAGCGACGCGACACGAAGCGGCCCAGAGTGACCTCCTAAGCTTCAGTGCAGAGAGCACCCCCAAATTCCCCATGAACGTCGTCTGTGGAGAGCCGAACGAACGCACAGATAGTCCCTAGTATGAATTTTCAACAAGTAGGCCTAGCCAGGCCACCCACCATATTATCATTTACTAAAATAGTGCGGCAGCTGATTTCAATCTGATAATCTCCAAAACTAGCTAGCCTGTTAGACAAGCTCATATTTCAACTAATTTTTCAAAGCATCAATGTTCAACAACAGAATCAATTAAACCAAATTAATCACCGATGCCAATAGGTCAACTTGACAAATTAAACAAAAAAATAACGTAAGAGACAGCCCTATTTCTCATTTACGTAACTTAGACAGTGCCAACAAAATGTAAACCAAAGGAGAATTGACTTTTATTTACCTCGGCACAAATAGGGTTATCTAATTTCAGCCTTCTTTTTCACAAAGCAAAATGATTAAACACTATCACAAAACATATACATACTCGTAATTTTTTTTTTTTTATAGGATAGGGTGACAAACGAGCACACAGTCCACCTGATGATAAGTGGTTGCTGTGACCCATAGACATCTACATTTATCCTCGTTTGCGAATCAAAATGCAAATGCGTTGTCACCCGTGAGGACTAAGATGGAATGCCTCTTTTCCAGTAAAAAGGGTCTCCGGTTCTCTACACTCACCATACGAAACACGGCAGTGTTAAGCTGCTATTTGACGCTGGTATTCTGTGAGAGCGTGGTCCTTCCCCGGTCGAGCCGACCCATTCGTGCTACAACTATACTACTAATATAGTTGCAGCATGGCTCTACCACGTAAAAAATTTTTCCAAATAGCGCGACATTCAATTTCAAATGAATTCAAATTTTCTTTTCAGCAACCAGGCGCAACAATCAAATGCAGTGATTAAATATATTTACAAAACATTTGCAGCAGCATTTAAAGGAGTAGATTAAATTCAATTCTTTTAATCACAACCGCTACAAATAGGAAAATTTCGCGGAAAGCCCAAAGAATTTTTAACTAAGTGCTCGACCAAAACAATCTAATACCCCTTGACAGCGTGATTCCACGCTCCAGGGGGGCCCTAATCTTCCCACCACCAAGTGGAGCCACACGGCGTGAACCCGAGACCAATAAAGCGCGAACCGCTAACAGTCGCCACTCGAGCCTTCACTGAGGCCGTCGGCAACAGAACATTTTGACAAGTGGACTGTTGACGGCTTAAGGCTCAGTGGAGGCGGCCGTGGTGGGAGCTAAGGCGGCAGCTAGCCACGGCCGCCTCCATCAAATGGGGAACAGTGGTACACCAGTCGCGGCCACTCAGCTAACGGGAGTGAGAAGGGTCCAGCGGACAGATGAGTGGCCGTGAAGTTCTTCTCCACACGCTGAGGGGGGGTGATGACACCCCCGCCCCTGGGGGAATTAACCCCCGACTGGTCGGGGGAGGGACCCCTTCCAAACCTAGGGGCCCGGTGGCTGGCCGGCGGGCGCCGAGAGTCGCCCGGCAGAGGGCGTGACAAAAAATGGCAGCGTGCTGTCCCAAGCACAGCTGGCAAACGACTTTCTCCTTTCTCCTTTCTCAACCCACCGCTCAGCCGACGTCAAAACCGGTATGGCACCGAGCCACGCGCCCTCTCGTGTTAGTTCCTGAAATTAGCGTTTGGCGCGAACACATACAATTGATAAAATGTTGGAAATCCAATTGATTAAGTTAAAAAAATTGATATATATATTTATCAATTTGTTTATACTGTATAGATAACAATCATTCTTTTTCATGTAAAACAACTCAATTAATTAAAAAAAATTATATATAAAAGCTTGATTAAAATTATTTCCATATCATCTCGAATGATATCAACTACCCCATATTATTTCGGATGTGTCGTGAATCACAACAGAGAGAAACGAAATCAAGAAATAAGCAACAGCATCTTCCATGAGGAAGATGCTGTTGCTCGTTTCTTGTTTTAGTTAACAACTCAAAATAATATCCCGATGGATAATCAAAATAATCTCCGACTGCCAACCCACCTGCAAGTGAGGCAATGTTGCCAACAGTAGGTGTAACCAGTAGTGTAGAACAACAAGCGATAGTAATACCAAAAACTTAATTTAGCAAGTTACAATAATAACGACAATAATTATGAAGAACCATTAAAAGTTGTATGTAGATGCTTAAGAGATAAATATTGACGGCTCCGTAGTGCAGTGGCTTAGCAATGAGTTGTTGCGCTGGGGGCCGCGGGTTCGAATCCCGCACGGAACAAGTATTTGTATGGCCTACAAATAATTGTTCCAGGTCTGGATGTTTGTCCTCGTGCAATTTATGTTTGTAAACTGCCTCCATGATACAGGAGAAAATCCTAACGTGAGGGTAACGTTTTTTTTTTTTATAGAAATAAGAGAAAAACAAAGATAAGAAGTTAAAGAAAAGAAACCAGGAGAGATGTCTGGAATTGAGGTAATCTCACGATACCTTGTGCAATGTGGTGGCGAGCGGCTCATCATCCGAAGAGTGGTAGGAAGCCGCCAGCTCGTGGTACTTCACCACCACGTCCACATTTTGCCAGTTGCTGCAACCACATACCAAAAATTTAATATTCTAGTTGAAAAACGCTGCCAATGGATGGCGGTGTACAAGTGCACATACAATAATTGTACGAATCGCATATTGTGGGAACGTATGCTGTCTCTCCTTAGCAAACATACTTTCAGCTCACAACACATAATTTTTTGTTACTTTATTAGTGTACAACAAAACTTTTTAAACAACACGCGCGACTGGTCTGAGTAAATATGTTTTTGAATGCACTGAAGTTAAGTGGCTTTAATAAATTAAGTATCCCCACCACTAATTGAAGGTATAGTAACTGCATACTGTGGTTCTTACATCCTTTTTGGTCTTGTCCTTCAAGCCGGATTTAGACAAGCGACCTATTGATAAAAACGTCCGGTTTTAGATGGCAGTCGAAATGGTTGTTCACAACAACAGAGCATTTGTCGAGCAGTTGCTGCATGTTGCTGCTCTGCGGCTGAGGGTACCTGATGATGTACAGCAACAGGTCGGTGACGAGGCGCGCCTGGCGCACGATGGGCGAGTGCGGTTTGTTGAAGCGCTCGGCGTTGCTGGCCAAATAGCGTGCGTCAAACTGAGCCGCTGCAGGTCTCCGATAGAACTGTAACCAACACAACACCTTGTCACCACCCGGAACTACAAATATGTGCGGAATATTGAATAACGGGAAGAAAGAACCTGTGTTCTCCAGGCAGAAAAGGGTTACGAAAGAGAAGAGCTTTAGCAATACTTGGGTCAACCATCTGGACGTCGGCCAGTCGTCGAATATGCTCCCTTTATACCTATTCTCTCCAATCAGAATTATTCATTTATAAGAAATATAAACTGTGTGTAACACTAATAAGTTATTTAAATGTGCTGTAGCACTAGTAAAATGTTTAGATTTTGCGTAAAAATAGTAAAATATTTAGACTACGTAAATAGTTTTAAATAGTCTCAGTTTTTTATTTATATGACATTTAGACTGTATGTAACATTAGTAAAATGTTTAGACTATGCGTAACGTAACACTAGCTACAAGTGGTGAGTAAATTTTTCATTTATATAAAATTTAAGCTATGTGTAACACAAAGCTTAGTGTTTCACACTAGTAAGATATTTAGTCTGTGTGTAACACTAGTTAGATTTAGACTACGTAACACTAGTAAAATATTTTGACTGTGCGTAACACTAGTAAAATATTTTGACTGTGCGTAACACTAGTAAAATATTTAGGCTATATATGACACTAATTACATTTAGTCTGAGTTTTACATTTAAAAGAAATTAAGACTGTGTGTAACACTTGTTAGCAATACTAACACATTTATATTACATTTTTTTTTAAAAATTGTCTTGATTTTCGAATTATTTTATAATAAGTATCTATTTCTTTTAATGTTTAAAATGTTTCCGTTTTAATATTTGTAAAATAGTAAATGTGGAAGTATTTAATATGGCAACATTATAGGAGACAGGAAGAGGAAAAGGGGGCTTTGTTAAGAAGGGTGAGCTACTAGAATATTTTTGTCGAAAATACTTGTTAACAGAATATAGGTATAGGAATTAAACATAAAACTTATAATAATAATGTAATTAAAGTGTATTGGATCCAAATCATAATTTATTCTTTTATTTCTAAGTGATTCAGCTAATAATTCTGAAGTGGGATAAACGAGCCTGCCCTCAGGTATGTTCTATTGTTTTCAATTTGATAAGTTAACTGCGTAATATCCATTAACTAAATTAAAATAAATATAAAATCAAAAATCTGATTTGGGCGATAAAAAAAATGGGTTTTAAATAGTATATTGTACCTACATGTTATGAGTTAGAGAGTTTTTAATAAATATCAAGGGTACACCCTATCTAATATAATATATTTGTTTATACATCATGATAATAATTAGGTAGTAATTAAGCACTTATAATGGGTGATGTTATGTGACTACTCATGAACATGAAATAATTAAAAGTTGTATAATAAGCAAAAATAGAGCTCCTATGCACTATTGTCATAATTTTTTAAATTGTCATTGCTACATAATTTGTAATGGTAATCCAAAACTATGGACTTAACTGCATTAAAACTGAATGAGAATCATGATAAGCTATAATTATTCAACAACACTCTAAACAAAACCCTATATTATACCTTTTATTCAGAACATATTTTCATTTATGACCCATTTTGATAGTATAAAACAAGCATAACTCCTACTAATATACTGATAATGTGGCATATTACAAAGTTACAAAGAAACTGAAATATTTATAAATGTTTGGAGTGTAATTGTTAATAAATAATATATTTGATGTCACACTAACTTCTAAAATGATGTGGAAATACTTCTCATAAGCCAGAAGAAGCAACAACAAAAAAAAAGCATTACATTATCTATTTACTTTTATGTAGTTCAATTTAACAGTTGTTTTAAATAATTGTGTGATTATTATGCAAGGAATATCTGTAGTCAGCGGTGGATTCGTTGCTATAATGATGCTTGATGCAAATTTATTTGCTTATTAAATGTAATGACAACAGTATTTTTTCTTTTAATATTACTTGTAATATAAAGCCATATTTTATATAACTTATGGGAATTTAATTATAATACATATAAGACTTTCTATTTTATGAAAAGCTCATACTAATTGCTGAATTCATTTTCCCCACTCCCTTATCTATATCACTTTATCCTTTGACCTTAAAATACTATAGACTTTTTATCCTTTGACCAGATTCTAGTATATTATTGATTCATTATGTTAGACTCAGACCAGAGTGCGCATACCCCAGCACTTAATAGTGATATGGTACAAAAGAGAAAACAATTTAATAAAAGCATAGTTTCAACTGCAAGTAGAAGTCAGCGAAATCAATCACAAGAATTTCAGGTACGATCTAGGTCTAGGTGCAGGTCACGAAACCGTCGAATGACAGGTGGCAACAGTCGGAAGAGTTCACACGGCATATGTAGTAGGAACAAACGCCAAAATAGAAGGCGCTCACATGTTAAGCGCCCTCGTAGTTTCCAAAGAGAACGCAACAAATCTGCTTACTTATCTTCACGCACAATCCCTGACGGGGTAGCCAGAGAGAACAGATCGCCAAGTGTCACGATCCTTACAAACCTCTTTCGCTTCTTTCAGATTCATTATCTTCTTCATGCATGCACGTCTAGGTATCCGAGTACTCTTGACCCTACCCTCTTCGAGCAATTTGCTCACATGGTCTTCGAAAGTTAGTCTCGGTCTACCTCGACACCTTTTAATATTAACTTTCGCGCTATATATTTTCTTCACCATTCGGTCTTCACTCATTCGCTCAACGTGCCCAAACCACCGAAGCACGCCCTTATCAATTTTTGTGATAAGGTCATCTTTCAAACCTGCCATATTGCGAATCTCTTCGTTTCGCTTTCGGTCGGCCATGGTAACGCCGCACATTTTACGAAGAGATCGCATCTCCACTGCATTCAACTTACTTTTATGCTTCTTCTGGCATACCCAGGTTTCGCTGCCATATAACAAAGTCGGTACCAACACTGCGTTATGTATTGCAAGGCGTGCACTCTTCGCTTGCCTTTTCACTAACGCAGTCAGGGCACCATTGACTTTGTTCCCGGCAGCGACACGCCTGTCCACATCTAAATCACATCTTCCATCACGGCTAAAAGCACTCCCCAAGTATACAATTTCATTTACCTGTTCTAGACATTCCTGATTTATCCATATTTCACACTTCGTTCTCTCTTCGTCCCTTTCAAATACCAGAACCTTAGTTTTATTAGCATTCAAACGGAGACCTTTAATTTCACATTCCTCTTTCATACACGTGACTAATGCCTGCAGTTCTGCCTCTGATGGTGCAATAAGCACTGCATCATCAGCATACAACAGACAATTTACTTTAATGTCACCCAATTTCACACCCAAACAGCTATCTTTCAGCTTCTGTAAACAGCTGTCGAGATACAGTATGAACAGCCAGGAAGACATGACACAACCCTGCTTTACGCCCATTTGGACGTTAAACATGGGTGACAGGTCATGCCCTACCCGCACACAGGCTTTACAGTCACAGTAAAGAGACTGCACAGCCCTTAGCAATCGATCATCCACACCATACCCCGGCAACAGTTCCCACATTTTCTTCCTTACAACCTTATCAAATGCTTTCTCAAGATCCACAAAAGCACAGAAAATCTTCTGGTTAGCAGCCAGAAGCTTTTCCGTGATCACGCGGAGAGAAAACATTTGATCCGTGCATCCTCTTCCAGGTTTAAATCCGCATTTTTTTTTTTTTATAGGAGAGGGGGCAAACGAGCATGCGGCTCACCTGATGGTAAGTGACTACCGCCGCCCATGAACAACTGCAACACCAGGGGAATCGCAGATGCGTTGCCGGCCTTTTAAAAAGGAGTACGCTCTTTTCTTGAAGGTCCCTAAGTCGTATCGGTCCGGAAAAATCGCTGATGGTAATCGATTCCACAAGGAGGTCGTGCGAGGAAGAAAACATCTTCTAAATCGCACAGTGGTGGACCGCCAATCATCCAGATGGTGTGGATGGTATCGGGAGTTCTGCCGCGATGTGCGTTCGTTAAATTTGGTGGCTGGGATTAATCCGAACAATTCCTCAGAGCACTCCCCATGGTAGATGCGAAAGAAAATGCAAAGGGATGCAACATCTCTTCGCAGTGCCAATGAATCGAGCCGATCGGAAAGGGCTCGGTCGTCGACAATTCGAGTCGCTCTGCGTTGGATGCGGTCAAGTGGAAGGAGCTGGCACTGGGGAGTCCCTGCCCAGAGATGGGAACAGTATTCCATGTGAGGCCGAACTTGCGCCTTGTAAAGTAGCAGGCGGTGTGCCGGCATGAAATACTGTCCCGCTCTGCTGAGCACGCCAAGCTTTTTAGAGGCCAATTTGGCCTTCCCTTCCAAGTGACCACGAAACTGCACGTCACTCGATATGTCGACTCCAAGGATACCGATACTGGCTGAGGCAAGAAGGGGAGTGCCTTGAAACTGAGGAGATACGACAAAGGGGTTCTTTTTAGCGGTAAACGCGCAAACTTGTGTCTTCTGAGGATTAAATTGGACTAGATTTAGTCGCCCCCAATCCGAGACTTTGTTCAGCAAAGACTCGACTTCAGACACAAGTTTGTTCCGGTACTCAGCGACGTTTTCCCGAGAAATATTGGCACGGCCGGTGTATAGAGCATCACCAGTGCTGTCATCCGCAAAGCAATGAATGTTACCAGTTAGCAACATATCATTGATATGCAGAAGAAACAGCGTTGGTGATAGCACACAGCCTTGTGGAACACCAGCGTTAATAGGCTTGTAGTCAGAGCATGCACCGTCTACAACGACCTTGATGCTCCGATCTGCAAGGAAGCTGGTGATCCAATTGCACAATTTCTCGGGAAGCCCATAGGAAGGGAGCTTCGAAAGAAGCGCTTTGTGCCAAACCCGATCGAAGGCCTTCGCAATGTCCAGACTAACGGCCAACGCCTCCCCCTTGGACTCTACTGCCTCCGCCCATCTATGGGTCAGGTAGACCAGAAGATCACCAGCTGATCGACCCCGATGAAAACCGTATTGGCGGTCACTAATCAG